TTGTTGTTGTTGTTAGTGGTGGTGGTGGTGGTGGTGGTGGCGGCGGCGGTGGTGGTGGTGGTGTCGTCGTCGTCGTCGTCGTCGTCGTCGTTGTTGTTGAGTGGCTGTTGGGACCGCTGTAGTTTGTGTTGCGGTTGAGTTGACATTGTCCTCATCGTCGCTGTTTTGGCGTTGTCGTTGTTGTTGTTGCTGCTGCTGCTGCCGGTGCTATTCTCGTTGCTATTGCAAACCTAATGCATCATGTCGCCATTTCTTTTCCTGTTGTTCCCACCGCTGACCCACACCGCTGACCTCGAATATGCTGAGCGCCTGAATGATGGGTCCATCGCCGTACCTCTGCCGCCCCCGCAATTCTGCATTGCTGCTCCCAAGAACAGGTCGCAGGTCACAGACATCAAGAGCACCTCTCTATCAGCTGGCGGATCCAGACCCAGTTAATCCTTAGTGTTGCCATGAATGAGCAGAAGTGTGACATGGACCCATGCATACCGGAGAGAAGCATGAATTAGCTTCCTCGCCGGCAATGAAGGAAATGAGAAGCGGCCTTGCAACCCAGGATCTCTCCGATGATTTGCACATGTCGGGGAAGAATCCTCTCCATCATCTCCACCGGCCACTTTTCTAGAGCCTGCCAGGCACAGCTTTGCTTGGCTGAAGCTGGAAGAGGCTAAAGGTCGCAGCTTGCACTAAAGACGCAACACTCTCGGCGTTCAGCGGACGGGCGAGCGCATGCAGCGACTGAATCTGCTCGATGGTGTGATCCTAACTCCGTGTTCCTGACATGTGGTCCAGCAACCAGAGCATACCAACGCAGCAGCGGAAATAAAAAGCAGCCAGAACTAAATATGACGCCCTCAACCGCTGCTGCTTTTCGGCGGTATGGGCATGAGAACGCTCGTTCGAAGTTCTCTTGCGCTTTCATGATTGCAACACGGCGTAAACGGCCTCGGGCATGACTGTGTGGTTCGTGTAATTCAGGCACTTCCTGCCAGTAGCTCTTGCGACGTTTGACCATCTACATGCTGTGGCACTGGGATGCTTCACTGGATGATTTTGCGCTCAATGCCTGGTGAGGTCCCAGGCTTCGTACCAATCCATCTGCTGCACGTCGACCTGCCCCGAAGGCTTTTGTCATAAGATGTTTATTTAAAATTTAAGGGTCCAGAACTGCGCCAACGAACGCTATGCTAGCTGTGCCGCTTGAACTGAAGCATTTTCAAGCAGAACCCCAGGGCACCAGCAAGCGCATCATCTCTGCCACAGCGATGGTTGGATGGGTGTCGTTCATCTGTACGGCTACCTGCACTTGATCTCAGTGAACGCCCGAAATATGCTGCTTTCACTCACGTCAAGTGCATGCACACATACCAGGCAATTCTGCTTGACGTTGCCTTGTCGGGCAGCTGAGACCACTGGTAGCTCGGCCGCTTGATAAAGTCCCGGAGCACGTCCTGCATCGGGAAGGAATCTGCAAAACGTCGACTTGGAACAGCTCGGTTCAGGGACTTGCAAGCCATGACCTGGCTGCTCAGGGCTGGGAGTTGCATGCCTAAGATGGCTAAGCAGCGCTCACACGAAACAACTGAGCGAGTTCTAGCAGATTCTTGTCCTGGAGTGAAGCGCTCACGAAGAAGTACTGCTGGCGCAGCCGAAGCTCCTTTCCCTCGTAGGTGGCATCCTGGTCGACAACAGTAGCTTCAGAATTTCTCTGGCCGATTTATTCCAAATTTACTGGCAACGCATGCGAGTGCATGTAATAACAGAACCACCCCTGACCAGCAAAGACCATGCAGCACCAGAGGTGCCCAGAGATGCGACGCCCACGATTACGATCTCGTCACAAACCACCTATTACGCAAGTCTCTGTGAAAACGGGCCACGACGGCAAAAAAAAACATGCCAGAACCAAGCGTCGTTGGGGTAAAGAACAGCAGATAAATCCTCTGCCCTCCTCCTTTGGTCGATTGCGTTGGAAAACTGGGCACTGTTGTAGGCATCCAGGTCGAACTCCTGTCACACTGCCCCAGGAAAGCTCACGGAAAGCAAACCTTGAATTGGAGTTTGAAACACGATCTAGAGGACGATCAGGAGCCCCAAGCCCACCCTGAAAAGTTGATAGTGCCTTGGACGGGCAAGCACGCCACAGTCGAAGGTTGTTCGTGTTGAAGGTGTCCTTTGATTGCATGACGGCAAAGACAAGTCACCGATTCCTAATAAACCATCACCACCGAAACAAAGTCTCTGTAAAGAAATGTGCCGGGTGCGTGCAGGTTTCGAAGCCAGGGATGGGATTGTCATACGCCATTGCTTGCACGATCTCGCCCCCGACCCACCTTGCAACAAAATCGTTTTCGGGGGATGCTCATGCCTGCGCGCCAAATCTCGGCCTCGAGAGCTTCTTGCCGTTTACCTCCACTTCCTGAGTCGCCCAGCCAAGCATCATGCTTGGGCGTACTGTCACTAACACTAACACCTCAACTCAGCACATGTTGGACTCAGTAGTTGGACCCTGCTGGGCCTCCACGTGGCCATAGAAGCGGATTGGGTAAGTGACATCAGGACGAGGGATCTCAAAAGGGCATCCATCACCTGCTAGGCGCAGCAAGCGTTCGACCCGATGAGTTCGTACACTCGTGGAAGATGAGGCAACGGCCAATCCAACAGTCTGGCTGCTCCACCTGGCGCCCGTTCCTGACAGTGACTCGCCGGTACCATCGGGCAGTACGAGACACCAACCCGAGCAAAAGCACTCGATCTGCTGCTTGAACATGCCGTAGCTGTAGCGGATGCCGTAGCCCCAGCAAGGAAGCGACCTGATCCGAAAGTCTGCCGACACTTTCTAGATTCTGCTGGATCTGCTGCACCCGCTGTCTCAATAATATGCATGATTATTGGGACGTTGCCCCGTGCTATCCGAGCGGCATCGTGGCCATGGAGTCCAAGAAGCACCTGCATCTTTGCCGAACTGAGACTCATCGATCCTAACACATCCTTCTTTGCATCAGGACTTATTTGCAGACATGACATCCGACACACCAGATGCCGCTTGAGCTGCGCGGCGAGACGGCCCAGGCCACCGTTGCCCAAGGCCGGATCTGCTTCCTGCGAGAAGAGCTCCTGAAGTACAAGGTATCCTAGCCATCTCAAGCTATATGATAGCAATGTATAGTATGTATAGTATTCAACTGCCGGCCTTTTGGGTATTTTTACCCGATGCTCCCACGAGCAGCACCCCGGAAGCCTATGTCAGCTTATGTCACCTGGGGGTTATCCTGCAGCTTGCGTTGACTCAGACTTCGTGAGGACTTTCCACACTGTCCTCCAGCTGGATGCCCAGATCCATGAACGCCTCCTGCTGAAAACGCCGAGGTGAAATTGCAGCAAAAACTGTCAGGTACAGGCGGTGCAGCGGCGCATCAATCACAAGTGCTCATCTCCTGGAAAGGTCGCTCAAGATCCAGGTTGGCAATGGCATTTTGCATATGCCGCCCGATCAAGTACTCTGCAGACAAGTAGTAGCCCCTGGCAGAATCAACTGCTCGCGACCACAGCCGTGGCCAACAGCCTAGTCATTGTCATATCATCGAACGGCCTTTTGACATCCTTCTCCCGGTAATGTGCCTCGTCTGTAGGTCCAACTTGTATTTGTTCTGGATTTCATGGCAAGAAATGACCAGCTGATGCAAGCGCGACCTACCATTCCTAAGTCTTAAGCCTATCACAGCCTGTCAGCGACAACATAAACCCATTCGAAGGAATCTTTGGCTCCGGGCTCGTGTCGGCCCGTTGCGCGGTAAAGCTGAGGCGCTTCTGTGTCATTGAGGGACTCAATCAGGCGATCACGGAGGGCAAACCCAGCAGCACGGTAAGCATCCTTGCAGTTTCGGGGCACTTGTGGAACAGTCAGACAACGGCTGTCAGTCTTCCTTCTTCTGGCAATGAAATCAAGATGGGCACTCAACAAGCACGGAAGTGACAGCGTGCGCCCTGGCTTAAGCAGAGCCCCGCAACGGCAACTACTCACGATGAAAAGTCCGACAGCCGGAGTTTTCTTGGCCAAAGGGACACCACACAAAACCATGTTCAGACACCACCCTTCTTCTGTTTAGAAGGAGAGGGGCAGGGAGGGCCTTCTACCACCAGTAGGAAGCGAACAGCTCTCGGCAGGTCCTGCATGCTAAAGTTGAATCGCGTGCAGGCGAGAGAATACTCCAGATGTCGGGCGAAGGACTTCTTGATGGACTCTTGATCGTTCGGCTCCTTAGCACTGGTGCGACAATGCTGCGAGCCCCCCCCCTGGCCGGCAGGACTGAGACTTCAGCATAATGCTCCATCAACTTCCAGAGTTTCGCCATCTTCTCCTGAAGCAGGGATGCAATCCAGAAGAAGCAACTGGAACAAAGAAGCATCTGGATCCTTTCGGTAGTAGTGAGCGTCGTTGCCGCACCAAGTCCCCGAATGGCCGCTGGACCGGGTCGTCATAACAATTTTGCACTGATGCTTCTGAATCATCCCTTCAAGCACCTCACCACCAGGTTTCGCTGCCGGCATCGGCCTGCTGCGACGACTGTGCTGTTTCTGCTGCTCCACAGCCCACACCGCTACAAGGTAACGGAAGCTATGTAGCGCTTGACCGGCAACAAGTGTAAGAAGTAATCCTGACTGCCGACAGACCTCACTCCATGGAAGTTATCCAGCCGAGACTTTCTAAACAAAGGGATTTCTGGCATGTCTAGGCACGAAACTGTGCAATGCTGCGCCTTGCCTTCGAACCGAGTTGTCCAACAGGGAAAACCTGCAGCTTCGTCACTATTGCTTTTCCTACCTCCTACCTCGAACTTTCCGCTTCCTGTTACTTCCTGATTCCTGCTTGCTACAGCCACTACAGCTGCTGCTACTGCTGCTACAACCACCACCACGACCGCCACCACCACCACCACCACTACTCCTCCTGCTGCTGCTGCTGCTGCTGCTACTACTACTACTACTACTACTACGACGACCACCACCACCACCACCAACACCACGAAAAGAACACCACCATCAACACCAACACCAACACCACCACCGCCGCCAGCACTACCACCACCGCTACTACTACAACTACAACAACCAACACCACCACTGCTGCTGCTACTACCACCACCACTGCTACTGCTACAGCAACTACTGCGACTACTGCCACAACTAACTACCACCATCACCACCATTGCTGCACCTGCCATTACTCCACTACTACCACCACCACCACTATCACGACGACGGCAACGACGACGACGACTTCTGCTACTGCTGCTGCTACTCCACTGGTATCATTATCATTGATACAGCAATACCACTGGTACTATCCCTGCTGGCATCATTGCTATGGTGATGCGGATCATAAGCAACGTCGTTAACATCGTTGACATAGTCGTTGTGGCCACCAATTTTGAGAGTCTGTGCAGAAGGCACTGCATTACCATGCCCTCCAGATCGCCTCACTTCTTGCAGATTGGTGACAGATTTTGTGAAGAAAGCACGGGATGACCGTCATAACTACTGTCATACATACAACTGGCGGTCGTCGTCGAAGCTTGTCCATAAAGAATTCCTATCCTGAATGTGATGGCTACGAGTGCACGATGTGGAAGTATATTAACGTATACATTACCACTTTGTCGGCTGGTTCTTGTAAGAGATGAAATTAACTAGTAACTAGTAACTGTATATCTGTATATTCACAGTGACAACCACACACACACACAGAGACACACACACACGCGCGCGCGCCAGACTGAGCGAAAATATGTACTAAAGATCATCCCTACCTTATCCTCTGCAGCATGCTTGGGGTGATCGGCGTTGGGGTCCGTTGCAAAAGACTACCAAGTGTGCCTCATGTTGCATGCACCGACCCTTTACACTACACCCCCAACCCGCATCTCGGCCTCTTCCCCGTGCCCCTATGGCAGCCACTGTCGGGGCTTGCAGGTTGATGTCTGTCTCTCAGTGGCTCGAGTGCGGATTACAGAGGGTCTCGGTGAGATTGCAGAGGGATCCTATCTCTCTCTCTCTCTCTCCCCACCGTTGCATCCAGAGAGATCCTATGGGGGAGGGCTTTCTGCTGCGATGGGGAATTTCTGGGGTCTGCGACAGTCCGACAGCAAGACATGTGCACGAGGATATGAACGTCCAGGCACTGCAAGCCGCACGAGCCATGTGACTTTTGACTCCGTGTCTGAGCAGTGTGTTTAGTACTGGGAGGCGGGGGTCCGACATGGTCTACCTTCGCTCGCCCCTTGGACCACATACTCCGCTATAGTCAAACGCTCTTGGGGCATCTCCAATCATCGGGCGGTGAAAAGCGAGCAGTGGGACAGTTTTGTTCATGTAACCCATCGACAAGAATGAGAAGGTCAGATTCCTAGTCCAACAGCATGCAGAGCTGGTCTGGTGTTCCACAAAGAGTCCAGGGCCCTCGAATCGTTAGTCTTGTGCCCAGCAGCGAAGTCTTGCGCTTCATCTCAAAGCCTCGTCAAGGCTGTTTCTATAAGCCCTTTTTTGGACCCGTACTTGCTTCTAAGCCTTTCTCTTACTTATGTAGTTCTTGGCAGATTTCATCATGATCATTCAATTGCAGTCGTGGGTTTCGGCAAAATTCAGAAGCTCATGATCTGCTGGCCGGTTGCCCCCGGAATTCTTTCAGAAAGCATGTGGCAACAACAAGATCCGCTGCTCGCACCTTGAGCCACACTCACAAATTGTAGCAAAGCCAAGCGTTGCAGGCAACTGTGCGCGGCCTGCATTGCTCGGCGACCACACACCACTTGTGGTCATGACTCCAGATGGGCAGATGGCCCGCAAGTTGGGGCTTAATAAAACGTGAAAACCCCAACTGAAACAGCTGCGGGTCTGCACACCTATATAGCATCACCCAAAGTCCAGAAACTACATAGCAGCACCGAGCAGATGCGGCTTCTCTCCACAAAAACTAGAGTCGAACCCTATGGTTAACCGTTTATGTATCTATCTATCAATCCATTTATCAATCCATTCGTCCATCCATCCATCCATCCCTGTTGCCATATCATGACATGTGTCCTTCCAGTCAACGTCGATCGTGCCTTCCTGGGACTGAAGATGTACGGCACCGACAAAGCTAGGTGCCCAATTGCCAGCTCTAATTACAGCATACCACAACACCCGAAGTACTGGCTGCAGCAAGCTGCAGCCGTCTTGTCGTCCCAGTCTTTCCAGAAAGCCATCTGCACGGTGCGGCCGGCAACAATGCTGCCTGCGCTGCTGCCCACCTGCGTCTTGCGGCGCGAAGCATGCGCTACTTGGACACACATGCACAAACACACAGACACACACACACACACATGCACGCTCCCTATCGCGACCACCGCCCGAGTTCACCCCCCGCACATCTTCTGCCACGTCGCATAAATCGCACCAGCATCCATGGCATCGAAGACCAACTGATCGCCGCCTGCAATTGGATTGCATTCCATTCACGTACGCCCGACAGGAACCACGTACTCCCCGTAGTACTCCCCAGGCCAGCATCTCTAGAATCTGAACAGGTTCAGTGATTGTAGCACATACCCCTACACCGTATGTGATGCCAGCCTGTTGGAAGACCTGGAAGCGCTCGGGTATCCGATTCACTGCGCCAACAAACCAAGCGCCACTCTCAGCTCTTCGCAGTTACAGTCTGCAGATGTAGCAGCACAGACACAGTGAGGGTTGGCATGCGAAACCGCACCGACTACCCGCAACATTCGATGCTTGGCTGATTCTCGTGTTTAGGTTTCTGTTGTTGGAATCGATTCAATGCAATGGTGAAGCATAGATGGTATTCTGTTGAAGCCCGCACTGTGCTTGTGTTTTTGCCAGTATGGAGGGGAAGGTCGGAGAAGGTGGGTCATGCGTCCTTTCACAAGCCTGGGCGTGGGGGAGTCCATGACTTTTATGATACCATGGTATTCCAATGGTTCTACTGCCGGCTGCTACAAGTAGGGCACTGTGCTGCCACTTCCTAACAAAAGCCACGACGACGACTGTCACTCCGAGTACTGCTCCTCACTAACCCACCAAAACCGCCGACAACAGTCCGCGTTGCTAGTTAAAAAGCAGTGAAAGATGCTTTCCCGTTGGACAGGCCTGAGTCTCTCAGATGGTGCCGCAAAGCATACCTGCATCGATTGCTACACATCGAAACCTGATACTCATCTAAAGATGTTGCCAGCACACATGCTTGTTCTTTGCCTTTGACCTCTAAAATATGCACTGTCCAACCCGCAGGGACTTCCTTGCAGCCACAAGCGACGTATTGCCCATCTCGGCCCAAACCACGTCTACTTTTCCCAGAGCAGCGACGGCTTTCTTGAGGTCATCCCCTTTGACGTACCTAGCATGCATAAAGCCTTCTACGAGCGTCTGAAGCGGAGTTGATATTGGAACCACTGAGCTTCCAGCTCAACGTCGATCACCTCCACACGGCTCAGGCCAAACTCACCTGGGAGGGCAATCGTCCGACAAGCGTCGGATGCGTCGTAAGTCCAAGGTCGCATTGATGATTTTGACAAAAACGACTGTCTGAGAGTACTCGCTATTCTCCTTGTGGCAGCAACAGCGCAAACCAGAAAAAATCCGCCTCGTTCCAGGTGACGCCCAGCTAGCGACGCAGCAGAAACACACCATCCAATCTCAATCAAGTGGTTCCCGAATTGTCGAACGGCATGGAGTAGGAAAGTGCTTACTGCACAGTTTGGACATCCTGTTTGCACACACTGCTGGTTCACAGGTCATGTTTCGCCCAACATAGGCGCACTAAACTTTGGAAGTCCGATGTCGATTGGATGCATGGATGCAGCTCAAGAAGACATACTGCCGTAGTCACGACAACCCTGTCATAGTTGCATGTGCTGAGAGTGCTGGAGCTGCATTCGGGCAGGCATCCCTTGGTCAGTCCTCCTTGAATGAACTGAAGCTTGCAACTCAAAAGGGTACAAGCTATCTGTCTCAGACAGATGCACCCAAGTAGTTGAGGTTTGCTCGTGCCAAACCTCGAGCAGAAGCACTACACCTCTTGCTTTCGGCAAAGTGCTCAGCAGCCACAGCTTCCTGATGACGGCTGCCAAAATAGCTACTAAGCCGAGTGCGGGCCCGTCCTTGCAGATAAGTGCAAGTAAGTGCCTCGTTGTCTCCCTACAGGCTGGAGCCAGCAAATTTAGGAAGAATCTGTTCAGTAGTCGGAGTGCATTGGACGAGCCTCGCGCTGCCTACCCTTGCCAGCGTACCCTGTCTGACAGAGATTGGGGGACTTTCGCAGGACTAAACTAATGACTGGTAAGACCCTGATGGGAAAAGCCACTGTCAGCCGGGATGCAAGGATGGGCAGCGTGATATGAGAAATGATTTCCAGTCCGCCAACAGCCCCAGCTCATGCCGGCAATCACAACACCTCTTGCAAAAATCAGAAACAGAAGGCCTCAGTTTGCAAGCTGCAGGCGGACCCCAAAGTCTGAAGTCGGAAGCTGGTGGAAAAGCACGGCGGAGCCCCAGCCACTGCTGTTTGCACATGTTGTACTAGGCCACTGGGGTCTAGGCCCTTGCTAAGCTTCTCATTGCCTAGAAACGAAGGCGATGCAATGCGGGACTCGAAACACTCGGAATCGCCAGTGGCAGCGCTCCCCACGTGCTTCCCTAGACAGCGTTATCTTCTATGTGCGGGTCCTCCATGAGGTCCGTTAGTTCGCCATCAGTAGAACTCGCACGCAAGGAGTTGAAATATACCACCTCGGCTACAGTGCACACTGGCGAAGACTGATTCCTGATTTCTGCTACGGGGGTCCGAAACCTGCAGCCCGATCGGCCACACGACCTGCACTCGCCTTCAAAGTTTTTTGCCTGTGTGGAGCATTGCTGACCCAGGCACTATTTTCCTGAAGTCTTCCTGCAGAGTTTCAGCCTCCTGCATCCGTTCTCGGAAACCTCTGCAAATTCTGACAAACTTGTCGTCGATGGACTCACCTGCAGAACCATGCACATGTAAAAGAGGATTTGGGCTCGCATGGCAAGGTGCACAGACTCTCAAAGCTCTTGCTGCGGATGGGGCCTGACCGTCGATGAGCTCGCGGATCCCTGAAAGGACTTCTGGTCCTCTGACTCCTGCAGCTTCGCAAATTCGGCTTGGGCACCTCCTGGGCCCAGCCCGCGCCTGCAAGGAAATCACGACAAAAAGCTTCTTCTGTTTCTCCTACAGCCTGCAGCATTCGGGCATGATCTGTTGACGACAGCTGCATGTCGACGACCACATGCCAAGCAAAAGCATGATGAATTCGAGGTCACATGACCTGCAGAGGTGGAGATGTGCTGATCCACCGCAGCTCTGGCGAGCTCCTGCCACAGCTTCAGAGAACCCGATGTCTGTGGCTTACGCATAGTTCTCAAGGCTGGAAACCGGCAGGCGGGGTCTGACAAACTCCGCTGGTGGCTTAGAAAATAGTAGTTAGTCGCCCGGCCGTTCGTGCGATGGAGAGCTTGGACAAGTCGGTTTTGGGCTCAGGAGATGGCTGAGCCCGGCGTATGGACTTTTCGGCCAAGAAACATCTTTGCGATGTGAGTCGTGAATTTGATGCTAGATGAGTTTCAAACCCTGCAGCGAAAGCCTCTGCTCGGGCGAGATGCAAACGAAGCTGGTGGTCGATTCGCCTCGGCTGTGACGGCTCAGAGCCAATGAGGCTTTAAGCTGAAAGGTTCATACCGTGTTTAGTGAGAAAGGGCCGGTATGCATGCGTGAACGTCGGCATGTCCAGATGCTACAGAGTGTGCATGTATGGAGACACTGTGAGTACATGTGGCTACTTAAGGTTGCAACACCCCTTTTGCTCTTGCTGCCTAAACACCTCGTGTCTGCTCACAGCCCTTTTACGCGGCTACCTCTGATTTCTACAGTAGACCACCACACGATGCCTGCTGTCACTCCATCCCGAAAATGGGTCGACTGCAGAACTTCGTTCTTGCAGCTTACAGCATTGACATAGTCGGTGCGCAAACCTACCCGACCAAAGATGGCCCACTCGCCATTCGCACTTGGCTTTGTAACTCAACGTCATTTGCCTACTCCTTGTAGTTTTGGACAGTCTTACAGTCTTACGTAGGTAGTCGGTTCCACGTAGTCTGGACGTCGGATTGACCGAAAAAGCGGTCAAACGAAGTCGCTGCGCAATCTGTTTTCCATCTCCAGCGTGTTGCAACAGGTGTCCTCGGTGTAGACAGCATCGAAGTACTCGGAGGAATTGCCAGAACCGCAACATAAGATGCATGAGTTCTTGACACCAACGTTTGTATCTTTCATGACGCCTCCCGTTCTTGTTAGTGCATTCTTGGGGTGCCAACAATCCGGAAGTTTCAATGGTAAACAGCGGCGCAATGGATCTGCCAGTTCTGACACAACGTGCGGATGCAGATCTACATGGCCATCAAACGATCCATGGCCCCCATCCAGGAACCGACGCAAGTCATCCAATTTGAGCGGCCAGAAGGTCTTTGGCAAACACTTCCCTAATCCAGGGAGCAGATCGGCCACAACTTTCTTCACGGTCATCTTATCCGCTCCGCTGTCGAGGAGCTCATGGCAGACGACAGCAAGAGTAACAAAACCAATGAGACACGAGATCGGATCAAGATCTGGCTTTAGAACCACACCGCAATTTCCTTCCTTGAAACTCATTCCCCGTTCGACCTCGCCTGGCATCAGCCGGCCCTTGCTCTTGTTGGATAAACTCGGATGGTTCGACAACTTGCCAAAGTTGGCGGCAAAGGACTTCTCCCACAAATCTTCGGCATCATAAAGATTTTGCGCCACCTCCGGGTCTGTACTCTCCAAATCCCAGACATTCGTGTCACCAAGAGTGACATCCAGCGGCTCTACTTTGAAGCGGGTGCACTGTCCCATGGGCTGCTGGAAGGTAACGATGTCAGTCCATGACGGCAAGCCCGGAATCTTCCTCTGTTGCACGTACAGCGGAATGTGCCGGCCTGCTTTTCCAACACATCTGCCGTCTCCTAACGCATCCTGAAAAGGCCAAAACTGCACCGTTGCTGCTGGGTAGAATAGGCCGTCTTTCAGAAACAGGCCCACCAAGCCTGGAAGCGGAAAGCATCCTGGCAACCAACAAGGACGTGTGTGAAGAAGTGCCTAGTGGCAAGGTAGTTAGCCAGGCATATCACTCGCCCATGCTACTGCTTGTCAATCAAGAAGTAACCAGTCTCGTGTTCCTGGCTGTAGCGTGGTTCAGAAACATTAAACTTGAGCTGAAGCAACTGTAGAGCAACATGATTCGGCCATGGGGATTCACCAAATGGATAACAGTCATGGCTCCAATGATCGGGCCAGAAGAGCGTCCCATCCTGCTTGTATGCTTCAGTCTCAAAGAGTATATCTGGGGACACCAGCGGAGTGATGTCAGTATCCATCCACAAAACGTGCTGGAAGCTTGAACTCATGACCGCTGGAACTATTGTAGCGTATTCCTTGTACACTCCTGGCATGTTCAACTGACGGCAAACAGCACCGCTGGCTGCCAATGCCTCGCAATGAGCATCTTCCAATTCAAAGGCATGCCAGAACTCCACCGGTAGATACGACTTGTGCTGGGATCGTAAGACGTCCAAATTGGCAAGCGCTTGCAAAACATGCTGTGCAGCGCCACTCATCACGATTCCTCGGCCCTGGAAGGCAGAAGCTGACGGCGTGGGAGAGCTCTGGAGATCACTCAAAAAGCTGGTCAAGGCCGCCTTCTCAGATGGCAGGTGCTCGGCGCACTCTTCCCAAACAAACTTGTGGCTGCAGAATGGCTGCTCCTGGCCCCCATCGGCCCGGGCAATAACGACAGGAAGGAAACGAAGGCTGGCAACAGAATGCCAAGCGAACAGCAACTGAGTCAGCCCATTGCTTCCACAGGCTGCAACATGTAAACCGATCACATGAACATACAGATTACGTGAATGTCGCAATACCCACGCCTTAGTCCTCCGATGACCCTGGCACTGCTGAAAATGGAATTGTCAAGGGATGCGGCAAAGAACCTACCTCCAAGCACTTGCCCCTTTTACCATGTTTACTCACATCGCTATAGTGGTCATCCTGCGTGCGGAGAAATCCTAGATGGCAAGTTGGCCACTCGCACGTTTCCGTTTCGGGACAGGGAAAATGGCACCGGTTGGGCCATTGGTAGTGAAGGACGAATGGGGTGCCCTCACACCTTGAAGCAACGCATGTGAAAATAGGCAAACATCTGTCCATCTTGGGCCTCGGAAGAAACATCTCTATCAAAGACAGGCTAGCCTGTCTATCCTGTCTGACATCAGAGTTTGGGACCATGGTGGACCATGCGTTTGGGATTGGGGCAAGCTTGCGGCCTTAGATCTTGGGTGGACCATGACCCAAACCCTATAGATGCACTCTAGCGGCAGATTTTTCTACTGTGTTGCCTTGCAGGGAAAGACTGCGTCTCAAGGCTTGTGCAGCCTGCCGAGCTCATGATATTTTCAAGTGGTGCTACAGGATACCAGAAGCATTCCAACAACAAAGCGACTAGTTGACCTAGAACTGAACAGTCGTAGGTAAATTCTGTGGGTTCTGAACCAAACAATAGAATTCAAGAAGCCTTACAAATCCCGAAATAGAACATATCTTTCCCGGGCCAGGCTGCTGCACGGAGTCCAGCGCCGGATTTAAGGAACTACGAGGCTCCTCCTGGCTGAAGACGGTCCTTCACAAGGACTTCAAGTCTCGACACTCTGGTCTCTGGGACTCTGGGGTGTTGTTGTCTTACTAAACCTAGGCTGGCTCGAAGAGTAACTCCGAAACGAATGGTCTTCACATGGCGCTTGTAGGACCTAGGTTGGGACTTGGGGATGGTGCCTGCAGAGTGGGTTGACGAGTCTTGAACCGCTTTATTCAGTTCTTCAAAAATGCCTAGCTTGCCCCCTCTCAGGAATGGGGATTTTAACAGGGACGCACAAGCACCAACTCCTGAGCTGTGACTGAGTATCTACAGGATCGATTGTCCACTCTTTGCAGTCACAAAGTGATAAGGCCTTTGTTGCTTCAAATATGCTTCCTTTCTCCGAAGGTGGCTCACATGCTTGGCAACTGCACACATGCTGCGCTGCGGCGCCTGAGTGAATCCTCTGTATGATGATTTTGCAGCGCTTGCCCGTGGCTGGTAGGATCGTTTGCTTGGCCAACCTTCCAGACTGCCTGCCACCACGCGCCGCCGGGCTACAGTGCTACAGTGCTACAGCTCAAGCAGTTGGATGGTAGACCTTCATGCACTCAACTCATTCAACTTGCATACAGGAGGCCTCCGGCTGAGACGCCAGCTTGTTGACTTCCATCATGGCTCGCTGCTCCTCACGGTCATGTTCAGTACGACCATTCTGCAAACTTGCAAAACTGCAGACACGCTGGCAGGGGGCCGGGGCGAGGAGTTGAGTTTACGGTGGCTCCTGCAGCATCTCTGTGTGATGGTCCAGGATTGAAAGGACCTGCCACTTAGGCAGAGTCGAGCAGTGAGCCACAAGCACCTACCACGCACAATATGCAGCAAACAAGGAAGCAACAAAGAAGCAGCCATAGCAGCTACAAGCTGGGCACACGGCGCCCTTGGGCAAAGAATATCCAATTAGGGTGTGGAGCTTGATAGCATTGCCAACGCAGAGGCCAAAGTCACTACATCACAGTCATCCCCTTCGTTCCTAAACTACAAGACCTGAAAGACAAGGTCGAGCCCAAGACGCCAGGAATCGATCCTATGGAGAAGGCTGAAGACTATATAGACTTGACCCTGCTTTGCTGATCCACCTCCTGGCGTAGAATCTTTCCTCGGTACAAAACGCGCATCAGCGGAGTCAAGAACGGCTTGACGCCACTCGAAGCATTCAAATCCAGAGCCCCAGGCATCTGAGACAAACGAACGCATCTCGACAAGTCAAGCAAAGCTGCGAATCTCCATGACGGAGTAGCGCACGAGTGAGTGCATAATGATGGGCTCGCGCTTAAAGAAGGTTCCCAAGCTCGAGCAAAACTCCAGGTATGACACCTCACCAGAGGCGTCCGCGTCCAAGACATAGAAGATGGACTCTAGGTCGTCTCGCGTGATATCCATCACATCCATCAGCTTCTGGAAATCATTCACCCTGTCATAACCCTTCAAGAGCTCTTGATAGGAGATCATGCCATTTGCATTGATGTCCATCCCTGCACATAGCAGGACAAGATCCTCCATGCTCCTGCTGCGCTCGGCTTCCTTTTGCTGGACTTTCTTGGCATGATCGTTCTCCCGCGCCTCTGCTGCCCTTTCGACAATCACCTGCCCAGCAAGCACCGAGATTTTGTACAACGCAACAACACAGCTGTATCCCTGCAAAGTCGAAGCTGGCATTTTCACTGGGTTCGAAACTTTTGGATGCTCGCGGGTGACCAGATGCCATTCCGACTGAGCCCCTGGCCGCGAGGATCAAGTTCATCAGCCCCACGGATATGGTCAACATGATGGCAAAGAGGAGGATTGCAGTTGCAGGAGCACGCTCCTGTGGCCACATGCACCCGCTATGACACTTGGGTGCACAGCAACTTCTGGGTGTCACTTCGAAGAAGTTGCAACCAGTGACCGAACAAATGTCTGCCAGCGACTTCCCCCCCCCCCCACCGGGTGGCAGTACTTTTTTTCACAAGGGACTCGACCGCTGCCCTTACTGCAGTACTACTTCAGCCTTTGTAATGAAGCCTGAACCACCCTTAGGACATGCTGAGACAATCGAGACTGGCGTATACTGAGAAGTCGACAAGCGGAAGACTGTTTCGTGAAGTCATACACAAACTTGAGGTCTACAGGAGAGCCGTTTTGTGCCATCCTATCAACGACGATCCCACAACAGCTAGTCGATCCGAACTTCGGAACCTCACGAATTGGACATGGGTAACTAGCCATGAATACTCCAAACAGGCAACGACCCACCAAACCTACTGTGGTAGCCAGCAGGGCGGCCAAACACTGCCAGCCCAGGCTGGCCATGCTGCCTAGCGTCGACAAGCGGGATGGAGATCGCGCCCCAAGAATCTCCAGCAACTATCTGCTGGAAAATGGTCACGGAAGCAGAAAAAATGTCAGCGAAACCTCTTGAGCATCGTTCGCACGTCCCCGGAAAGTCAATCACAGAAGCAATGGGGTGTAGCATCTCCACAGACACCACTGCCCAGACCAGAATCATGACAATAAGCATGATGGCCCCAAAAACGATGGCTTTCAGTGACGAATATAGACCGCCGATTAGCATGTACAGCTCCGGCACGGAAATAAAAAGCCGCACTGCTTTCCTGGGTCTCTCCACAATCGGCGTTGTTTCAACTGCTGTCAGCCCTAAGCCTTAAACTTGCAAGGCTTGAAACTCGAGCTTTTCCTGTCGTGCTATCTTGCTCCAAGGCTCAGAACGCGAGCTATCCTTGACAACCTGAGCAGGCTCAAATTCACTGTATCTGCCAGGGCCAGCTGAAGGCAGCCAAGGAGGACTGTCGTGAGGTCCACCAAGTTCCAGGAACTGCACAGGAAATGGGCTCGTTCCACATAGACTCGTGCCACGCACTCCGACACATAGATCACCTCAGCCGAAGATGCAATAACAACTCGCAGGTGCAGGAGATCTTCCAGTCTACTCGAGTCTACCTGCAAAAAGTGTCAGGATGTTGCACTCCAAGGGGCGATGAACACAATCTCTACGATTGCAAGCCAAAGGATGGAAGAACTTCGAGTTGGACACTCGAAGTACTTGTTGGCATAGTGGGGGTAGCACGTTGCGTCCGCATCTGCCTGCCCGGACATGATGTCGGCCAAAGCATGAGGGCACTCGGTAGAGAAGACTCTCTCAACACTTGCCTACAGTCGCACATGTGCTCAAAATTGCTCAAAGCAATCCACATGGGCAGGTGACTCTGGATGACCCGGCAATCCCAGCCGAATCAACACATGTGCAGACTGTACAACAGGCAAAAGCTCCTTCTAAGTCGCGGCTTCAATCAATAGCATGATCGCCGCAGCGACTGAATGCAGTGCTGCGCCCTCCCAAACACGCGAGGCCATGCCCTGCCTCTATCAGGATAATTGCGAAGTTCAGCCTTGGTCTGCTGGGCATGAACTTCTGAGAACCTTGACCATGACCATGCATCACAACAAACCCTCCGGCTGAGTCCGGCAAGCAGCAAGACAACGAGACCAATGAAAATCTCAAAGTTGTGAGAGAAAAGGAGCCTCGGGCGGAGAACTTGTGCAGGCTGTGATGGGGTACATATTTGACATGGGTTCTGGACATTGGGCTTTGAAGCCCCTGCGCTTGTGGCTTTCTTGAGCACAGGGTCCCGTATTTTGGACATCCCTTCTCGACTCCAGATGATGGTGTGGTTGTGTCTGGCATTCTTCATTACTGCTGGGACGGCGTATTGACAGGATGCATGGCGGTTGTCTGGCCTGTTTTGATTGAAATCGATGCGATTGCATGTCGTCGTCAAGCAATTAGCAGCATCTCACGGGCAGAAGCAGAAGGCAGAAAGGATGCTGACTGCGGGAAATCTTTGTCAGTGCATGCACTTGGGCAGCTTCGGTTTCTCCATCATGTCCTGCTTACTCGTGCGCAGGGCCGCTATTTCCGAAACGTCATGACCTTGACGGATCCCCGTTTCGCCTCCAAACTTGTGATCGCTCTCAGTTTAGTATTCCATGCAACATGCCCGCTTGCTGAAAGATGACAGCAAGCCCAACGATAAGCAGGAAATGTAAATCACTGCCATCTAACGACACGACCCGCCCAGCAAATTCTAATCAGCTACTGTGGCTAGCCGAAACACCATCACCGCCTCCGTAAAGTATTCTAAAACCCATGTTACTTGCGTAGCTGGCTTGCGGCTACTTGCTGCAACGAAGGCAGTATGCACGAAACAACTTCCGAAAGTGCACCTCCTCGAAAGCTTGCAGACAGCAACTGTGCAGTTCGGATTCTGCTCGGAGACCATATTTGATTGCCGGCTTCCTCATATGCCAAACTCAACTGCGCTACCAAGAAAGCCGGAGACTGTCTCCTTTTCCTAAAAATACGAGCTATTTGACAACCAATTGACTCTTTGTTGTGGCATGGAGCAAATAATAAACCGAATGTAGGCCTTGAGCACACTGTAGCACGCGCACACAAACCGCAAGAAAAGATGGCTTCCGAATGAGAGCGCAATGACCCTGGCATCAGAAAACCACTCAGCAGAACTAGGACCAGGATGACAGCGGAAAGAATGCCAACAAGAGTAGCATCAGCAACGAGAACAGAAACTGCGAGCAGCAGCCGCAGAAGCATCAGAGCCAGCCGCACCAGCAACAACATTTTTTCATTCACTCGCAGCGGGAGAAGTCCTCGAGTGCTCCGTTAAGCTATCCTCGCTTTGCGACGACTCAACTTATTGCCCGGTCCCTTGGGGAGTTACTCCACCTCAAATTGCAGCTTCCTACTACTGAGCCTAAAAAGTCTACTCACTCGGTGCAAAGCACT